TGATTTAAAAAAGCTATAGCTAAAACTAAACTGTATTTTAAATTTTAAATAAATACATCTTACAATGCATAATGTTCTCTGCGTGCATAATCCAAAACTACCTGTAAGCTATGTTAGCCCATTAGAATGGCTCATTGCAGGTTAACAAAGCAGCAAATAAAGCAAATACACAATTGCAAGCGCACATTATGAATCATGTGTATGCAAATATTAGTTATGATTAAGCTAAGAGAGTGTTTAAACCCTAAACCATCCCTTTTAAAATAAATATATACATTTGTATGCCTATATGGAGTCAACAAACCTGGCACATTATAGTTAGACATGCACAGATTAACATTTGATAAATAAATTAGCCTGTCTTACTGAGTTTTGTTCAGAGGATATGAGCGCTTCCTTGATGCTAGCTGTGGCCATGTGGCAAGAGCCACTCTGCCTTTAACCGCGACTCCTGGATTCCAATATTTCCGAATGCACCTGAAAGCGGCACAGACCCCTCATCCAGCACATCACAGTGACGTCCTGTGCGGATACAGCAGACAGATGCCCTGACTGCTACGGTCCCAGGTCTACATCCGTAACGTTTTCTCCATGTAAAAGGGCGTTTTAAAGCCCGGGGGAGCAGCAGCAGAATGCAGCGGAGCGCGGTGGTCGTGGTGGCGGATAAAACGAGCTTGAAAAGGCCGTTTATTTTTGCAAATTCAGTCCATATGGTAGGAATTTTAAATCAATGCATTTAAAGCCCAGGGGCCTGTTTGATATCTTTTTATAAGGTTAAGTAGTTCATTTGTTGTCGTGTTCCCACTCAGATCAATGAATCTAAACCAAACAATTCTGTTTTGTCTGTATACCACGCGTATCGCGTGTAGTGTACTGCAGTGTTTGCTGTATGGTTCTTCCAATGTGTTTTTAAGGTTATACACTAAGAAGTCATCAGAAATGGGGGTGAAATGGCCATTGTGATGAATTTCTGCCTTAGTATAAGGACACCCATCCTTTTCCGTCCATCCTCACCCCAGCATCTTCCCTTCAAATCACATCTGCAGTATTCTCACATTGGTAATGTTTACAGTGTTCTGTGTTTTCCCAGCTGAGTCACATGTAAAGGCCTTCTGTTTTGCTGTGCTGTTACCTTGCTGTTCAGTACTTCTGCCTTCCATCTGCACTCAAAGGAGCTGCTGCTCCTTTAAGAAGTGACACCCATGATTTAAGCCCTAAACTGAGAGTCTTTGCAGTTCCACATTCCCCGAGCTGCAAAACAAGCAGACCTATTCTTAACCTCAAATATTTATTTCATTTAACCTTATACCCTGCATTGTGACATCCTCTTAACTCAAAGCTGTTTGCACACTTAACAAATGTTTGCGTTCTTCCTCTCCAAAGGCGCTGTGCTTCTTCTTGCTGACAATGACAGTGGCTTATCATCGAGATATCTTACAAACTGGAAAAGTAAGACCGACTTCTCATGGTTTTGGGGTTTGGAAAAAATAGTTTCAGATGTGCGCATTTATTGAAGGTGGCAATAATGCTTGTCAGGCTTCAGTGGAGACAACTGGGGATTTATACAAGAGGTCTTATCTGTGTCCTTGAGGAAGACAGAGAATAATCCTCATGCTCAGTGCACATCTTCTGAATGCAAGCATGACTGTTAACCTCAAACAAACCTTAAAAGTGAATGTTAAGTGTAGGCGAAATTCAGGTCGGGTGAAATCTTTCACAAATGTTTGATTCAAGGCTTATTCATTACATAAAACTGACAAGTTCAGTCGGTGTATCATTTTAACACCATTGTGGTTTTTCCTCTTCAGATGGTGTCTACTGTTTCCGTAGTGATGTTGTACGTGATAGAGATTGGCTGCCTGCTGCTCTCGGTGCTCGGCGTGTTCGGAGCCTTCAAAGAAAAGAGATGGTGTTTTATTCTGGTAAAAGTGTGTTTGTGTTGCTGCTGCGCATGCGGGTCAAATCTATGTCAAATAACAAAGCTCGACTCATTCATTATTCTTGTTTTAGATTTCGTTCATTCGATTTCTTTGTCACTAAAACTTTCACCGATTTTGTTTGTGTGCAGTATGCAGCTGGGATGGCAGCAGCCAGTCAAACAATAATTGTTAAGGCAGCACTAAGTTACCAAGATATTTATGAGGTATGGCATTA